GAAGGCCAATTCGAGAGTGACAACCCCTTCCACACTCAAGACAAATACAATCTTTCCCCTGTCCAGCTCCCTGATTTTGCTGGTTTCAGGACTGCCTCTTTGCCTCAGCCTGCTGAACCAGTGTCTCTTCAGATTGGGAGAGGTTTCAGTTGGTTCTAATTAAGGTATTAACCAGTATTAACAGTTACCAGTTAATACCTTAATTAAAACCGACTGAAACATCACAAAGTTGTGAAAAAGCTCTCCATAATTCTTCACCCCAGCTGTGTGATGAGCAAACATGTAGGGCTGAAGTGGCTGAGAATGAGGTGCTCCTCCCATCTTCAGTTTTATCACTATAGGAGGAAAGCAGCAGACACATTTGGATAAGTGTTGCTATGTGTGAGACAGTTATTGAATGTGCCATGATATTTAACAAGTAGTGTTATGTAATTGCTGCAGATTAAACAAGCAAATAGAATGTGTAAGGACAGATTCACTGAGGAAGGAAGGAAGGAAGGAAGGAAGGAAGGAAGGAAGGAAGGAAGGAAGGAAGGATGTTGCAGGGTGAAGTGGAATATGACCTTGATGTATAGTTTTGACTTTGCTAATGGAAGTCAATATGTACTTCATTGCTTCTGTTAATAGAGACACACATATCCCAGATGTTGTTCATGTAATGTAATCACTGTTCTCTTAGGTGCTGCCTGTGTAACATTACATTCCTGATTTTCTTTATAAGCATTTCTGGAGCATTTCTAACCATCAAAGGATGTGATTTTGGGACTGAGCTAAAACATGTAGAATTCAAAGCTTTTAAATAGGACTGAACTGAAATTTTCAGCTTGCTTCTTTCCATTTTAGAAAGAAAATGAAAAAAATGAACAGATTGAGAAATCAAGTCAGGGCACATGATGGAGCAGCATTTTTCAAGGGCCAAGAAAAATTATTTCAATTATTGGCCTAGAAGCAGTTGTCATTTTTAAAAAGGAGGGGACTAAGGTTTTATTTATCCACAATTTGTCTGGAATAACACTCAGTCCTGGCAAAGCATTTCCAAGAAATAAGGCGGGGTCAAGACAGCCAACAAATTTAGTGAAGGTGTCTCATTACTGCAAATGGTGGCAACCCTGTCCTTATAGGGAGAGAAGCCACAAGCTGATCCACCACATGTTAAAGTAAGTCCCAATAAGAAGCAGGAAAAAAATAAGAAAATCTCCTTACCAGAAAACGTCAGTGAGAATGTTCCCTTTCTTTGACTAAAAATGGCTCCACAAAACTATGTTGGCATTTTCTGTTTAACTTTAGTTGAGTCTCTCTCCAACTGAACTTTAGGCCTCCCAGTCATGTCAACCCCATATTTAAGGGCTCTTCAGGAGTGCCCAAGGCAGTTGGACAACACAGGTTTGTTGTTATGTGCTGTCATGTCATGTCCAACTGCCCTAAAGGCAGTTGGACAACACAGGTTTGTTGTTGTTATGTGCTGTCATGTCACGTCCAACTGCCCTAAGTGATCTTATGAATGAGTGATCTCCAAAACCTCCTCTTCTCAACAGCCCTGCCTGTTCTCATAAACTCAAGCCTATGGCTTCTTTTATTTAGTGATCCTATGAATGAGTGATCTCCAAAACCTCCTCAACAGCCCTGCCTGTTATTGTAAACTCAAGCTTCTTTTATTAAGTCAATTCATCTTGTATTTGGTCTTCCTCTTTTCCTGGCGCCTTCAGTCTTTTCCATTATTATTGTCTTTTCCAGAGAATCTAGAATCAAGTACTGAGGGAGAACCATTTCTTTCAGAACAAACCATAGTTTCTTATGAGCCACACATTGAAAGGCTTTGATGTATTCTATAAAACAAACTGATCTTCTTCTGAAATTCTTTGGTGCGCTCAAGTAACTTGAGGATATCTGCAACATAATCTCAATTGCCTCTTCCTTTTTGGAATCCAGCTTGTACATCAGGCATTTCTTGCTCCATCCCTTTGCTTGCACAGGAAATTAGAACAAAGGGCCTATAGTTACTTCACTCCTTGGCATCTCTTTTCTTGGGGATCAGAGTATATATTGAATGTTGTCAGTCTGTGGGCCATTGTTTTGTTTTCCATTTTTATTGGCATATTCTTTTTAGGATTTTGACAGATTTAGGCTCTGTGGTTTGAAATATTTCTATTGGTATTCCATTTACCTCTGGTGATTTATTTTCTCCTAGTGCTTTCAGAGCAGTTTTCACTTCACTGAGTATAACTGCAGGTTCTTGATCATAGGATTCTTCTTTGCCTACCACAGGTTTACCATACAAGAAATCCCACTTTAGAGCTGTGACTTATAGAATTGGAGTTGGAAGAGGATCTGTAGCTCATCTAGTCAACACCTCCAATGCAGGAAATATAGCGCTAGAATGCCTCTATTTGATTACTTCCAATGAAGATGAGTCCATCCCTTTACAAGATATCCATTCTGCTAACATCTACTGTCAGGAAATTCTGCTTAAAACTTAGCTAAAATCTCCTTTTACTTGAATCCATTGGTTCTGGTGTTATTTTCTGGATCAGTAGAAAACAACTTTTCTATCTTTCTTGTGGCAGCCATTGAGGTATTTGAAGACAATTATCATATAATCTCTTAGTTATCTCCAAGCTAAACAGGTTTATCTTAGCTCAATCATTCCTCATAAGGCTCTGCTTCCCACTCTTTTATTTATGTCTCCTCTTGACATGCTCTGAAGGAACATCCATGCCACAATATAGCGTAGTGGTTTATCCAATCAGTATGACAGACACATGAAGCAGCTCAGAATGATTCAGGTAACTGTCTGATTCATTCATGCTCCAGTGCATATATTATGTTACTGTAATTGGAATGTTTTTGCTAAGGCTGTGTTTCATTTGTGTCCTTAACATAAGAACATAAGAAGAGCCCTGCTGGATCAGGCCAAAGGCCCATCTAGTCCAGCTTCCTGTATCTCACAGTGGCCCCACCAGATGCCTCTGGAAGCACATGAGACAACTAGATACCTGTCTGATAAACCTCCCCTGCATCTGGCATTTTGAGGTACTTTCCTCCTAAGCCTTGAGATTGTACATCCCCATCATGGCTTGTAACCTGTGATTGACTTTTCCTCCATACATCTGTCCAATCTCCTTTTAAAGGCATGCAGGCCAGATGCTATCACCACATCCTGTGGCAAAGAGTTCCACAGACTAACAACATGCTGGGTAAAGAAATATTTTCTTTTGTCCTCACTCTCCCAACATTCAATTTGAGTGGATGTCCCCTGGTTATAGTATTGCATGAGAGGGAAAATAGCTTCCCTCTATTCACTTTATCCATCCCCTGCATAATTTATATATCTCAGTAATGTCCCCCCTCAGGCATCTTTTCTCTAGACTAAAGAACCCCAAACGCCTTTCCTCATAAGGGAGGTGCCCCAGCCCAGTCATCATTTTAGTCACTCTCTTCTGCGTGTACCTCATCCTTCCTGGAGTAATACTAGCTGTGCAGCTTGTTTCATATTTTTCCAGTGCAAACACTAGGAACAGTATCCATCATCACAGGTTTGCAACATTGTGTGGAATGAGAAGCAGGAAGATACTTGCGTGGATATGATGTTGCAGATGTGCTCATAAGAGATCACTGGACCAGTCTGAATAAACAGTAACAATTGCAAATGGGTATAATATGAACTCACTTTCATCAGAACTTGGTAAAGAGATGTGTATAGCCTGGCCAGGTATATTTGGCACTAAATATGCACTGCCACTCACTCCATAAGTTTGATGCAGTCTTTTGAGATAGCATCCAGAGATGGCGACAGCAAAGTCAGCACTGCCTTCATTGTACCTAAAGACATCCTTTGTTTCAGGATGGTCATTCAAGGGTTTTGGCACCAATAAAAGGAGACGATTATACAAATCCCTTTGTGTTAAAGTTGCTGCTTTTTTTGGTGTATATAAATCCCCAACAACTTGAAAGAGGCTACAGTCTGGCAAACAGGATGGCATCTTTAGCAAACCAGTGTGCAAGCATACAGTCAGTGTAGCCTGAAGAAAGAGAGAGAGTAGTCCGAGGGCAGAGTTTCAGGGCTGTTCCTCTTCACATGGGCACAGGATAAGGGTGCCCCTTCCTCAGGAATCTGTAATAGCTTAGCCAATCAGTTACTGATGGCTTCACTTAGCTGGGGATGATGCGCATCCACCTCTGACAACTCTGTTGTTACTTCCTGGCTAGAGAGCATTCTGTGGGAGGGAACTAACCCTTTTTTTTATGCCAAGAAGCCTGGGGAGGGGAAGCAAACTGAGGGTTATAGTAGTGTTGTACTGCCAGGAAGCGTGCCTTTGCCCCTCTCCTGGGAGGAAATGGGAGATATTCCATGGTGTGTGAGTGGGAACACCCCTAGGTTTTATTGAGAGACACCATGCAAGTTGGCGTTCATGTGTCAAGGTAAGGGACAGAGGGAGGGATAATGGTGTAAGAAGAAAAAGTACACATTTCCCATACATGCTCTCACACCCTACAGCTGACCAAAAAAAGTGCCAGGGGCAGCTCATGATTAAAGTTGAAAACACAACTTTATTATTGCAAGAGAGGTGACTGGCAGTTTTTTCAGGTTTGTGAACCTTCAAAAGAATTCCATACTTAACTCTTGAAGACCAATTACCAAAGATAGCAAATTAATTTACTTGCAGAGGTGAGATACTCCTGCTGCAACACTCTAGACACTTCCATTAGTTAAGGATTTTCTTTGTCTAATCACAGCTTATCTCCACTGTTTGTTTCTCACATGAATTTCTACCAGCCTCTTAAACACTGTGCCCTAAACAGAGGTGCTTCTGCCTGGTTTTTATTTGATGGAAATCTCCTGATACAAAAGTCAAGAGGGTATAACTACTTTCCTGTGTTAAGATCACACAGTAGGCATGTATAATTATCTAAATTGGCAGTGAAATATTTTGCTTTTCAGGGAACACTGATCTCTGCATATGCATTCTGAGCAATGAAATATTACTCTTTGTTCTTTCCAGGGCACCTCCTTGGACTTTCCCATGATGACTCCAAATTCTGTGAAGAGACCTTTGGTTCCATGGAAGACAAAAGACTCATGTCTTCCATTTTAACAAGTATTGACGCTTCCAAACCATGGTCCAAATGCACTTCGGCAACAATAACAGAATTTCTGGATGATGGCCATGGTACGTATAGAGATACTGATACTGGATCTTTTGCTGACCTTTGCATACATCTAGAAGCTTTACAAAGAGTTTGCTACTTTTGTTTTTAAATGGAAATGTGATGTGTTTCTTATTCTAATATGAAATGAAATTATTTCCACACCTCTTCAATATTTTTTTTTATTTTATTACAATATTTACAGGACCCACACATTTCCGTGACTCCTACTGTGCTAAATGTAACACTTCTAAATGCCCTTAATACTCTGCTGCTGTTGCTGTCTAATGAGGAACACGTACATTAGTAAACAAACAGCAGAATTGGTAGTCCTGTATTAGCAAAACTAGTAAGCAGTTGTAAATAGTAGTAAAAGCAACTATAGGTTACAAATGAATAATAAAAGTGATTCCTATTTACTTCAGGAATGGCTGAATGTCATACAAGCTACCATTATTATCTTTAGTTGATAGATGGAGTGAAATTCATAGCTTACTTAGGGCTTGTCTACATGGCCATTTTGAAGTATGCTTGTAGGGGCTAAAGAGGGTTGCTAGGAAGTCTGGTATGCCTTTTGGTGCAGTCCTAACATCTAAATGGCATATAGACTCTATTTGGACAGCAGCAGCAGCAGCCCACTTACAATTTGCCAATATAATGAAGTAGCTTAAGAAGAGAGCCACTTCAGGATATAGACAATTCAAACAGGAAGGCTCACTTTTGGTTCATTTAGGAGAGAATCAACCTGTCCCTGCAGGGGCCCAAACAGCAAACGAAATACCAATGTAACAATCTTCTTAGTGCAGCAAGGTCTGTGGAGATTTAGCCATTCATCCAGGGTTTTTAGTTTGTGGAATCAATACCTTCAAAGAATGAGCAGTTGACTTTATTCTGCAGATATTAGTATTTCCCTGTTCTGTACCAACTTCTCAACAACAAAATGCTCTTAAAGTTCTTTACTATGCTCCAGCAACTCTTAAAGACCCATTTTAAATTCCTGGATGCTTAGATAAAAATGACCTAACTGAACAAATGGATCCAGTTGTTATGGCAACTGAAATACTTATGGATAAAACACATACTGTATGCATGCAGAACTTGTAAACACAGCAGTGTGTGGGCTGGTTTGCAATGTTGTATATAATCAGATGTTTTATTACATTATTATAGATAAATGATTATGTCTAGTTTTGTGCTACTTTATTAAGCAGTTATTAAACAGGTGTAGATGTCTTTTCCACACTGTATATATGTTGCTTTGGTGTTAGCTACATTATAGTTGAATGATCTGAACCATGTTGCTCTAACTGAGTAAGGATAAGATTGCCATAAAACCATTTATTGTTTAAAATCCACATCTGGACAATAACTTTCCATTGATTCTTTGAGAGATATTGGCTACCTATAGGTTGTTTTGTTTTGTTCTGTTTCCATGGATCTACACAGCTGTCATTGTTCTTACTTATTTATTTTGTTGGATTTATATCCTTCCTTTCTCCATAAAATTGTATGCCAGGCAGTATGATTGGAAAAAATAAAGTTAAAATGCCGAACAGGTGCAAATACTGAAAAGCAGTTAAATTTAAAAGACAATGTAAAATATATCAACAAAGTAAGTATAGAACCCACACAATAAAAAGCACCCTACCCCATAGCCAGTCAGTTCACAATGCCTTCCCTGAATAATAATAATGAAGCAAATGAGTAGAGATTACAGCACTCTGATATAGGATCAGAGGAGAAGCTTACTGAATCTGATCCTCTCCCGGGACTATGGAAGGATCGTATCTCCCCATATGAGTTTTCTTGGAGCTTATGAACTAAGCAAATGAGTAGAGATTACAGCACTCTGGTATAGGATCAGAGGAGAAAGAACCTTACTGAATCTGATCCTCTCCAGGGACTATGGAAGGATCGTATCTCCTCATATGAGTTTTGTTGGAGCTTACGAACCGCAGAGAAGGCCCTCCTCTCAGTCATATTGCATGCAGAGGCACAGTTGATGGAAACAAAAGAAAGGGCCTTCTCTGTGGCTGCACCCGGGTTATGGAATGCTCTGCCTCAGTAGGTCAAGTTGCCTCCTTCCTTTTAATCCTTCCGCCAACAGTGGAAGGCTTTTAACAGTCATGACTGAGTCTCTGAATGCCATTTTTTCATTAAGGTGGCTTTTAGTGGTTCACATGTTTTTAATTATTCAGTGTATTTAAATCAGTTTTACAGTTTAATTGCTTTTAATGTATAACTTACTGTGTTTTAAATTCTATTGTTTTTCATTCTGTGAGCCTTGAGTCCCCTTATTGATAGAAAAGCAGCCTACAAATAAGACAAACAAACAAACGTCGCCTCCCCTGCTAGCGGTTTACTCACACCATCAAAATAACTATCAGAACAAAGTAGACATCCTAGTAGTCAAATAGGAGTCCAGGATAAATTGCCCCCTTAGGTCCCCATGTCTTCTCCTACCCTCTGTTGGAGAATAATGCAGGAGGAAAACATAGCACACCACTAAGAATGTATAAGCTCCAGTATGGGAGCCAAGTCATGTTCACATATATTAATATATGTATATTGCCCACTTTGACACAATATAAACACTGAAGCAGGAGCTTTGGCAACAAGGAATCTGGTGAAAGGGTGCTTAAACAGTGCTCAAACAATGTGAAGCTGGGTACAGTGTGTCAGTTGGCTCCTGCACAATTACAAAAAAATCAGTCATATGTGTCTTTTATCTTCTGTTATGGCTGTGTGGTTAGTTTTGCTCAGCAGAGTGGAATCCTTGAGGTTTAACCTTGTCTTAATTTGCCTCTCCCTTGAAATTGTTTTGGAAGGACGACATATGAGAGTGAGAGCTTGTGAGGCACAGATTTTAAAATATTGGATGAGAGAACTGTTATTACTTTTTAAATGGACCTCAGAATACAGAAGCACATAGTTTAAAAAATCACTGAGAAAACTTCATTTAAATCTTTGCCCTGCCATAGATATATATCATCCAGTAGTGACTTGGACCAGTCATTCTCTCTCCATTTATCTCTCAGATTTTTGTGCAGATTACATGATTTTGGAGATGTACTGTATATTTACCTCTGCCAAATTATTTAAAACTTGATTATGATAAGCACCCATGTTGAACTAGTGTGTTAGTTGCACCCATCCATCTTCGCTTCCATGATCCTCCACAAAAGCAGGGCAACTTTCTGAAGAAGTGGAATAGCTCCCCACATAATCAAGAATCGAGAAAGTCAACATGCCCTGTGAGGCAAAGGAGGTTCTGGTCTTCAAAAAGTCAATTTCTTTGCATGTGAAGTGATAGAAAAGGCCACCAAGGAGAAGGAGCTGGTGCAGTTTCCCTTGCCTCATGCTTTCACTTTACTCACATTGGCCAAAATCCTTTCCTGTAAATTAAACTGGTATAAGGCAAATGGTGTAACCTGAATTGGCAGAGTGCCCCTGAGGAGTCCCTGCTTCAATTCTTTAGTGTTTGAACATAATCTTATTGTGTGCAAGTCAAGTGGCTTTGTGCATGACCCAGAGTCAAATAAGGGATTCTAATTAGAACAATCCAATTCGTGCACGACTCATTAAAGAGTCCCCACTTCAATTCTGGATTGACTGCAAAGCCAGCAACTTGAGTGCAATGAGATTAAACTTAAGCAACGAGGAATCAAAGTGATTCCTTAACTAATGGCTGTTTTCTGCTGCAGGTTACACCATATCCCTTATACCAGAAGCACTTCAAGAAATTTTGCAGTATTACGTCCTGTAACTTCTTCTACAAAGCTTATATGGATTTTACATGATAGCTTCCAGATGACTAGCCATCAGAGGTTTTGACAAGATAGACTCTGTTGTCCATTTCTAGCTGACCATTTGTGCATGTTGTGGGATAAGATGTAGATCAATATTTTAATGTCTTCATAGAGTTCCTGCTGTGAGCTGATTGGTACATTGAATGCATTGCCAAGTACAGGGATATTGTGCATCATTACTAACGGACATCACAAGTGGATGATGTGATGAGGTTGTCCATGTGTTGATGTTAACATCAACTTGTGTCTTTGTTACATAATGATCAAAATCATTTTGTTTGGCATAGTAAATTGCACTAAAGTAGGGTCACTGGATCAATGAAGATTTGGTTAGTAAACTCCTCTGTGTGCTCCATTGATACAGATGGGCCTTCTCCATGGAACCTATAGAGCATCTGACTTACCAAATCCTCATTCATTCAATGGGCCTACTCTAGTGTGATTTATGCTACTATACTAAGCAAGGGGAATTTTGGCCAATGTATGGAAGGCAATGTGAAACTGGTGGTTTTATTAAAATAAATAGTGGAGGGGTAAATCCTATGCAAGGGTTAGTCTTATGCAAGATTAGAGCTGTAGGGAGGAGATCAAGTTCAAATTCATTTTCCCTGTTTCCATCTTAGCCTGAATTGACCCTATTTTAGAATTAGATTATGGAATAGTAAGTTACTCCCTGACTTGTTAGACAGCCGCTTATCTATTGCATTTTGTTGCTTATTGTTTTAATTTACAGTCTCCTCTGTTCCAAAAATCAAAGTACATGTACAAAACCAGATTTTTATAGATGTGAAATACTACTTTTATTCTTATTTTAGCCTCATTGTAATTATCAATAAATCTGCATCATAACCTTTGAGGCTGCTATTTGGGAAATGTTACTATGAAACACGAATGCCAAAGACATTTTTCTCAGGTTACCTTAGGGATAATCATGAGTCACAGTTGTTCAGGTGCAGACAGACTGACCAAACAGAAATACTCTGATTCATGATTCTTGCCAGCCAGTCATGCCCTATTCCACCAGGCCATTCTGTCTCAAGATTTCCCATTTTCTTTTCCAGCTGACAGTCAACAGTCAGACAAAATTATGTTTAGTTATGCTCCATGTTCGTTACACTGCCAGAAGTTTTATCCCAGCCTTTCCTTCCTTCCTTTCCTTCCTTCCTTCCTTCCTTCCTTCCTTCCTTCCTTCCTTCCTTCCATTGTACTTCTTG